CAGGTCCGATTTGTTTTAAATCGGTACATGAGGTCAAAAAAATCGAGACTTAGGGTTACAGATCGGGACAGTAAACAAAAAACAAGGGTTTTTTAAGCCTGGGTTTAATTAATGAGGGCTATCGCGTATGAATCCGTTGCTAGAGGCGCTAGTGTAGCGTGAGGTCTCCGAAATGTCAAATGTTATTGCTTGTTGGTTGACTACGCGGGTTTATTTCTAATTAAAATAATGTTGTGAATAATTGGTAACAATTCGGCTTAATTATGGCAAATATGAGTTATGTGGCAATGAATGTCAGTTATTAAAAAATTGAGCTTAGAAAAATGATTATGTTCCCATTTTTTCCGAATAAAACGGAACTGCGCGTCACTGTGGCATGGCCTATTATGTTTAGGATATGGTTCTTTTGTGTTAAAATACGATCTAAACGTAACTTTTGATTTCATGTGCGTATTAATAAACTTTAAAAGTTACAATTTAGGACCTCACTCAACAGTGGCGCCATCTGGTGAGGCAGAAAACGGTAGCCCTCATTGCGTTTTAAACTACTAGTGCTAGTAAAGTATTACATTAATTACCTAAATTTCATTTATTGATTAATCGGGACATTTAGCGCCCCGATCAGGTACAAATCGGGACGCGTCCCTAGACCCCTGAAAATCGGGACGTCCCGCACAAATCGGGACACCTGGCAACACTAGTAGGTACTTATGTAGGTGCGTAAATGACGGCTTGCCGTGCTTTCCGAAGTACGGGCTCCTCCGTGCTTCGGAAGGCACACCAAACACGCCACACTTATTACTTATCTCGAGATAAGTAATAAGTTTTCGAGCACCCTACCAATGACCGACCATTGCGAAAGTTGCTTAATGACGAAGCCTTTCGGGCATGGTCATTAAACAATTATTTAATTAATTACCTTCCCAGACGGGTGCTCCAATTCGAGCGGGATATCCTCTAGTCACTTACAGTATAGTACATTATGTTATTAACGGGATCGCTACCAAGTACCTAGCTTGTTTTTTGCATGATCCCGATATTTCAGAATTGTTGTGGTAAACGATCGGAGTTACTCCGTGAAGGACCTGAAAATGGCAGGCCATGGTGCACCATGAGCATACGAGAAATCCACATAAAAAGTAGTCCACGAATGACAGCTGCATGGCTGTTCAGTGCCATTGCCATGGGCTACCGTGATGACCACATATGGGAAAAGTAAATATATAAATATGAGATCTGAAACAATTCGGCAACGCTGACATTAAACTTTAATATCGTACCGTAATGTAAAAGGTCACTAAGTAGCTCGATGGCGCAAGCGGTTAGCGCATCGGCTGTGATTTTTTAAGTTAAGCAACTTCCGCAGTGGTCGGTCATTGGATAGGTGACCAAAAATTAACTATTTCGAGCTCTTCCGTGCTTTGGAAGGCACGTTAAGCCGTTGGTACCGGCTGCATCTGCCATCGTTAGCACTCCCCAACTAACAAAAATATGTCATACAAAGGTCGAGCAAACGTTTTTGATAAAGCTTATTGCGTGCAAACTAAGTCGTACTAAGGTCGTACAAACGTTTGTAAACCGCGATTTGGGCGCACTTTTTATGACTAAACGTTTGTATAACCGTTATACGGGAGTCATACTAAACACTATTTAGACACACAGCAGTCATAATGGTGATAATTGTACGACTATTTCGTCATACTGGCGTCATTGCACGTCTCTTTGTACGAGTAATTATCCGTACAGCCATCGTAAAGCGGGCGTTTTTACAAAAAATTGGATATTCAGTAGCGTTAATGGCGAGTGTTTTATTATAAAACATTTTTGGAAGTTATCGGTAAATTATATTCCCTTTATATTTGAAACCACTATTTATTTGACAGCTACAAGTTTCAAATGCATGGGTAGGTACGTGTAGTATCCGCAGCAGATGCGAACATTACTTTACCGACAAATATTACTAGGTTTTGCAGTAAATTTTAAATGCCCCTTTAATTCTGTTATGTAAATTATAATTTAATAAAAAATATATATTATTAATTGTCTTCAAGTCCTTATGACTTAAATACGTCGTATATATGATGAAACCGCTAGCTTATGACTTTACACTCGTATAATATACATCATGTTGGCGCCATTACTGCAGTTTTAGGGTTCCTTAAAAAGTTAGGTGGAATCCTTTTTTCTTTTACTTGAGCAAGTGCGTGAATCTTTGATAGTATTTCGAAAATCTTCTTCGATGTTGTCAAAATAATCACTACTTTCAATGCTCTCGTTCTCAAAACAATCTTGCAAATCTGTGCTATCGTCATTACGGTCATAAATAAAAAAATCCTCTACGGAACCACTGTTTATTACTTCTTCTTGGCTTGACGGGCGCGACAGACACTAGATGAAGATTCTTGGCAAGAAACTGTAGAACATGTGGTAGCAAGTACAGAACGAAACTTCCGATTAACTTTCCTCCTATAGTTACCGCTCCTTTTAAACTGCTTCCACATTTTTAGATCAATTTTAAACATTTCAGCAACTCGAGTCCGAATACGAAAGTCATAAGAACTACATTTCAGTTGTAAAACGGTTATAGTAATGTCTTTTGTATGACCATAAACTCATATAAGAGTCATAAAAAACTCAATTTAGGACCAGTGATATAGCAGTCGCGATTATAACTTCTCTAAGACCAAACAGCTATTAGCCGTCACATTCTTGTTGTATAAATCGCGGAAATGTTGCAATTACGACCTTTGTACGACATGTATTTGTTATGGCTAAATAGCTGTTATTGCTAAGTCGTACAGACGTTTGTAAAGCCTTAATATAGGACCAAACAGTCTTCAGACTTAAATGCAGTATAAGCAACATTTGTAAAACACCACGTTGTATGAATTGTATTTAAATGACTTTTGTATGACTAATAAGTCATAGTAGCCTAATGTTATATGACCAAATTGTTAGTTGGGTCACCAATCCGTACTGGGCCCGCGCGATGGGTCATGGCCCAATCTCCCTATTCCATCCATAAGGAAGGCCTGTGCCCCAGCAGTGGGGACATTAATGGGCTTATGATGAAAAGGTCACTGAAAGAAACATTGAGTTACAAGTTTCCACTTTTTATCTATGGTCTATGAACGAACTAAGTGCCTTCTATATGTCCAACAAGATGGCCGCACAGACAAGAGGCTAACCAAAGTGGCGCCAATTAAATGATATACATTTTCCTGAATAACCTGTAAATGAAATAGGAATGAAGCTTATCAGTAAAATAAATAAAGAAATTTATTTACTTTTCACCATTTATATTTCGCTCACATACAAAATATCACGGTCACGTAAAATTACATTAAAGTACCACTTACGTTACTTTTTACCCGGCTGCGCAATGCAAGAGCGCGAAGCGCGACGCGCAGACAGGGTTATGTGTTTAACAGTCTATATATGTATGTTTGTTCCTTTGTGGCACACTAGAGACCAAACGCCTGGACCGATTTTGATGATTCATACATCAATCGATTCGTCTTAATCATGGGAGTGCTACTAAAGATATGATAGTAATCAAAATTCAATATTTTTTAACTTCAATACCAAGTTTTTTTTTTTATTATTTTCAATTATTAAAATGCCTTTTTCCGACTTAATGATAGATAAATAATTTATATTCTTTTGCGGAACTAAAAAATGCCGAATAACTTCATATTACTTAGTTTGCATTTCGTTCCTTTCACAAATCGGATTTTTTTATGCTTTTAAATCTATTTCAATATAAAAATTATAAATTCAACCTTATTTTTGTATTTTTTAAATTAATATACAAAACACCAACATAATGAATTAAGTAAAAGCTCATTAATTTACAACAACTTTGAAGAATACTTAACATTAGTATCTATTTATATCTATCTATTTATATAATTCTGTTACAACATATATTTTGCTAAAATTATGGTAGTTATTGCAGAAATAATATTTACCTATAGATTTTAAGAACATTGCATAAATTTTAACTATACATAAAAACTTAGGTAAACTAACCTTATGTATAAACCACGGACGAAATTATGGACCAATCTAAATATGAATGGGCCAATTATATTCTTGGCCCATGAATGGTTTGATGCATTTTCTTATTAATAGGATCTTGATCTTGTCCTTATAGGTTTTTTATTTATTTATCGAGACAATTATTTAATGTTAAACATGCATGTAGTTATGACTAGTTCGTACTCTTTGTAAATGTACTAGGAAATTCATTAATAAAAAGAATCTTAAAGTATTTTTAAATTAATTTAATTTTGTTATTAACATCGATATTAGGCACATAAGTCACTTTGATACAACATAAAAGTTATCAGGTAATGTTTATTTAATGAATAGGTATATCAAATGAATAAATATGTACTTTATTTTAATGAATCAAGTTATTAAATGCATTACGCGATGCTAAAATGTTTTGTTATAAAAATATGTAAATTATCAGCTAGTAAATTCCTTTTTTTTGGTTTAGTTTAATTCTTACCACGTTTTTTTGTAACACATATACCTATTTTATTATAAATAACTAGTACTACATTACATTGACGACCTCCGTGGCCAAGTGGTTTGTGTAGCCGACTCGAGAGGTCCCGGGTTCGAATCCCGGTGGGGGCAGATGTTTGCGTGATGAATACGACTTGTACTCCAGTCATGGATGTTTAATATGTATTTCTATATAAATATAGTTATATATGTACAGTATATGTATTCTATAGGGTAACGACCCTAGCATCCCATAACACAAGCCCTACAGTGCTTACTTTGGGGCTAGGCTAATTGGTGTGACTGTTGGAAATATTTATTTATTTATTTGTATGTGCATAGCAGACTATGCCCTTATTACAGATAATATGTAGTTTTTTCCCCTATATTTCTCTGGCGTTTTTCTTTATTTTTGTCATCGCCATAACCAAGGTTCTTTTTTATCTAAAGCTTCATCATTTTTATTGTTCGATCTGATATAGAAGGCATAGGTAAAAAATTATATTACCTTTAGTATTTATTACTGTTTCTTATTGTTTTAAAATCACTCGAATACTATTGAGATTTTCTCCAAAAAGATAAATAACATAAGTACTAAATTACAAGATAGTCGCTATATAGGTAAATTAATAAAAATAAATTATTTCATAATTTTGCCTTTAATAGTCTGTATACGAAAACGAAACTTTTCCAACGCCATCTAGTGACACAGGTCGATAGTAATCCCTCATTTCGCCCCAACCGCGGGGTGCCACGTTGAAATTCGGTCCACAGACTAGAGGTAAACGCGGACTTTTCGGCGAAGCGTAGACATCGTTCAGCTTCGTGGGGGCCAGAGTTACGGGCACATCAAGGTTTGGTAGCATTATAGTTGGCGGAGAGACCGGGAAAGGCTCCATTTTCGGCAGGTACGTGTGTTTGAGCGCGGACTTGGGGTAGGTTTTCTGGTTGCGTAAGCTTGACGGTGGGCGGTATGCTGTGTCGTGGTTGGCAACTGGCGTAGGCGTCGAGCACGTGTTCGATGTGTTTCGGCCTAGAGAGAACAACAAAAAAAAAACATTTTATTCATCTGAATCAAGACAAACATTGTGATTTGATCGTGATTACACATCGAGCCGATACATCGGTCCTGTTTCTTGGTAAAATCGTCAAATTCTTTTAATATAATAGCAGTAGAGGCGCTACAAACATAGAGTTTTCATAATAAATAAAAGAAGATGAAGTGGGATAGGTTTATTTTAGGGGATTACTGTCCTCGATTCTGGCATGTTCCTTTAAACCTAAAAACTATATTCGACAAGAGTGTATCCCTGTCATTCTCTGTACAGAATGAGAAGGAGAGACTGATGTTAAATTTAGTTTTAAGTTTAGGGAATCACGCCAGAATCGACACCACTTTATAGCTTATTTTAACCTTATCTTGAGATTTTTTCTGTTAAAGAAAAAAAAAGCTTTTGGATGTGCGTATGGACCAATAATAGATCACTATTTATATTCATGGACCAAAATTATATTACTGGTCCATGATATAAGGTTAGCGAAAAAACTAAAGTAAAGAATATCTATCATTATAAATGAACTATTAATGATGACACTACTTATTTTTATTACTGCATCCGGAAATACATATCGTTGTTAGTAGCAGTTCGAGGCTGTTCAAGTATTACGTAATCACTATAGGGGGGCAGAGGGGTCTCTGCTTTGCTTATTTTTGATGACTTGGGGCGGTGGGGGGGTAGAGATGGTGATTACGTCATCATCATCGATTAAGCCTTTTTAAGTACTGCTGGTCATGAAACTCATGAAAGCTCATGAATCAATAAAAAAATAGAATACATTAAAGGAAAAATGCATATAGGTACCAATGTTTACGTAAGCGTGAGGGGGAGGGGTAAGAGCTTTGCTTACTTTTGCTGACGAGGGGGAGGAGGGGGTAAATAATTGTAATAAATCTGCTTACGTAATACTTGAACGGCTCCTTATATAAAATACCCAACAAACCGACCAAATACATTATCTTGGTTAATCATTCGTTAAAATTCTTCAGAAACCGCTTAAGAAAAGACAGACCAAATAAAAACAATGTAGGTAATCTATATACCCAAGTGCCAACAATTCTACACATAAATAACTAGATTCTTCCGTCAACAAGTGAATAGAAAAAAGGGCAGAATGGCATTTAAATTAATGACACAGTCAATCGGTCCACTACACCAGGAAATAGGAACTGTAAAATAATACCTACATATTTTATAAATAGGATTAATTATCTCTTCACTGCAGCCTTAACTATGGCGATTACCATTATGATGAAATATCAGTATAAGTTTGCAAAAACCTTGATATTAAGCAATGTATTTTAAAAAAATGGAATTTTAATTCCTTTTTACCATCTATCCGTCCAAGCTACCGTTGACGAAATAATAATTTTAAAACAATTTTTTTTCAAATGATACTTCTTTACGCACGCTTGACTTGGGGGGTAAGCTGTGGGCCAATCGCCTAACCAGATTGCTTTGGAAAACGCTATCGCTTACGATTTCATTTTGTTATTTCTAACCGCCGAAGGTTTTCAAATACCTCACGCTCATTTTCTTTAACATTGTTATTACCAATGCAAAAGAAAAAAAAAGAGCGCGAGGCATTTGAAAACCTCAGGCGGCTAGAAATAACAAAATGAAATCGTAAGCGATAGCGTTTTCCAAAGCAATCCAGTTAGGCGATTGGCCCCCTGGTGAATGCGTTGCGCGTTACAAAAAGTGTGTTCGGGCGAGGCGAACTTCACTTGCAAAGCCCCTCTTCGTGACGTTAAGTGTAAATGAAATCTAGTCCAGTTGCGATAATACTAAGCTGTTGTGAAAAATATACCGTTCTAACCTTCCTACCCCCTGGAAGCCTGGAACCTTATACATCAAAGGAAAAATAACACTTCCTCAAACGACACTTTTATTTCGAGTGGAAAATCTATTGATGTTAATTCGTCCTCTCTTGAATTCAAAGCCTTGGTATTGTCAATTTCACCGAACCTAACTACTAATTTGAATATAAATAGTTCCGGAAGAAGACTTCGTCCAGATAAATGCTACTTTTCTTCTGTAAATTGGCGCAGCATCCCCTTTTCGAAAGATATGACATTGTGATATAATAAAACTTCATTAAAACCCCACCATGTACGATAATGATAGACAATGAACAAGTGGATGCATTAATCAGATCTTGCGTCACAACAACGGATACAATATCAAAGATATTATAGCCCTCGGTAAATCATTGCGTTTAATAATAGCTTGCTTGTAGCGCTGCCTGGCATAATACCAAGCTGCCAATAATCTATGTTAATTCGTCCTGTTGAGGCCGGCCAAATTTATGGAGTTGTGGCGGCGACATCTACATGCCCCACATATAATATAACATAGAGGAAATAGTCACTCGTCTCCTTAAGAGATGGCGCTACCGGCGCTGCGTTCACAACGTATGGAAGCCTACAACGCGCAAGAGAAATTCGGAGCCTAAAACTCCATATATACGATGCCCAACCAATATCAGTCGGGCCGCGGCCCCCGAGTTACCATCGCCCAGCTCGGAGGAAGATCTTCCCCTTTGGCCTTTCTAAACAATAAAAATTAAAAAGCTTTTTACCGGTTAATCACTTTCTTTAGAATAGAAACTTGAGAGAAAAGAGATACAATGACGGTGAGCAAAAGAGTGTGCTTAATTTTGGTTAATCCTTTAAAAAATATTGTTTTAAACTTTCATGGCCACTAACCTTTCCCTTTCCTTTAAAATTTTATGCAAGTCATACATTTGAAACGATTTCTTTGATTTAAAGTCCATTTATAATGACTCTTAGTGCTGTGTGTATCGCAGTAAGATAGTTAAATTAGTGTAGGGCTCAAAGAGACACTTTAACTTGGTGGCGAGTCCATAGAGGTATAAGAATAGAGTAGGGGAGATATGTACTCTACTACAAGTGGAAGTGTCCGTCTAGTAGAAAGAGAAAAAGATGAGAGACGGCTAGCTATCTCTCTCTCTTGTGACGCTGCGCAGCGTGTGATTGGTCGGTATTCATCCATAGGTTTTTCATCCAATGCGCATTCGCGATTGGCGAGAAAAAGGCTAGCCGTCTCTTATCTTCTTTCTCTTTCTAGACGGACTAGACGGACACTTTTAGAGCCGCCTTCCCCCCTCTATTCTTATACCTCTATGGGCGAGTCACAATAGATCTTTCAGATCGCCGTGACTACAGTTCCATGAGGACTGCATAGCCCCAAAAATCTAAAATAATATAATAAGGTGTTGGTTAAAATAATATAATAGCAACGTACGTAGGCCAACAGAATAACTCCTCAGAACACTCGCCGTACTTATAGTCTAAAGAATGAGCTTAATGATGCATAGTGACATACCTCTTCCCTCGTGCACCCATTTGACGGAGCGCTTCTTCCTGTTGACGTACATGCTCTGGCCTCGGCTCATGTGGTTGCTGGAGTCGCTCAGGGATTTGGAGATGGCGCGGGCCAGGTCCATCTGCTCCTTCACGGTAGGGTGCACTCCGGGCACGTAAAACGCTGACGATGCGAACGTTTTCTCTGGAACATTAATGGGAAACATTGAACCAAAACTCCCATGGGGGGTAGTAACCTCCAGCTTTAAAGAATGCAATCAGGGCTTGTTTACCGGTTAATTTTCAAACCTAAATCAGTGTCAAGTACATTAGAAGCGTTTTATTTAGGTTTGGCTCTAGCTTAACCTTAAAAAAAACGGTTTCCTAAAAAGCGAAATCAAATAGGTTTTGAATCAATTTAGCGGTTTTTAAAGGGTTTCATTTCGCTCTTACTGACGGCATTGATAATATTGAATAACTTGACTCACTAGGCGCTAGCAAACGTGTCAATAAATGCATCAATCTCTGAGCATTTACAAGTTGTGAGTTGATTAGTTCAAACAAAACAAACTTCAAGCGATGCCGACGCGTGCACGTGTCGCTCTGGATTAAACCGGTTTATAAAGGTTTTAGGTACCGCTTTCCTTTTGGACGCGCTCTGCACGGTGCGACCGTACATTTTTGCAAGTCCGCAGTTTAATAAGGTCGATGCAATTTACGCCATTTACATGATTTAAAGAATAGTTACGTTTTCACCTATTACACGGCGGACGTGTACTCAATATCAATTATATCATTTAATCATTTCATTTAGTATTACCAAATTAGATATCAAATCAACAAACTATAAAATTATATCAACTGTTTCTATTTATAATCAACATCTAAAGGTGTCCCGTACACACTCCGAACGATACCTTTAGTAAAAACCGGTATTAACCTTTATTTACCGGTATTTTAGAAACCGGTTTCAAGCCCTGAAACGATACCTTTACTAAAAACCGGCATAAACTTTATTTACCGGTATTTTCGAAACCGGTTTCAAGCCCTGAATGCAATATTTCAATCGTTCGGCTAGGTGAATAAAATTGTAGATTTCTCCGTCACGACCGTTTTTTGTTTGGAAGTGTATTGTATAATACTTTATATCATTTTTAACTTCATTCGAGTGTTCTACGAAAGTCATGTTTGCTTTTTTCATTTGGCAGATAACTTATGTCCAAAAATTTTAAAATGGTTTCAGAGGTCCACGAGGTTGGATGTGGGCTAGCACAATGAGAAACCATGTTTTTGCATTGTTTATTTTTGTAATGAGACTCCACTTAAGATCAGGTGGTATAATTTGCTAAGCTTTGTATAAAAATGAAAGTTTAGCAATTACTATTTCGCTATCGGCAATCTGATTAAGAATTAGTTCCCATTGTCATATGTCATGACAAATAGATATAGAAAAAACAGTGGTGCTCACCAAATTTGCGGTCTTTCTTGATGAGATGCTCCTCAGCATCAGGCGCCGGTGTGAATATCTTGTTCAGGTCCACCTCCTTGTCCCCCAGGAGAAGAGGTTTGTTCTCAATGTTTTCCTGGAACCATCAGCCACAGCAATGTGTTAGAAGATAATTAATCATACATCATAATTTAGAAAGAATTAGAAATTGTTGTGACCAGTGGGAGCTTTAAAAATATTTAATCGTGTTAATTCTTCATGTAATCTAGCATTTCACGAATGTCCTACAAGTACCTATAATGCGATTCAACTAAGAATAGGACCGACTCGGCGCCATATTGTGATGTCATAGCTGTCAATTCAAACCAAATAGGTAGAGTGAGCAAAAAAAAGGTTATTTACTAAGATTAAGTGAGAAAAAGCATCAGATTTTTGTAATAACATTTATTTACTAAGATTGAAAAAAGAAACCACCGAATTTTAATAATATTTATTTATTAAGACTGTGAGAAAAAACATTAATCAGAATCTAGCTCTTCTATTCCGCTCATCTCTGCATTACCGCCGGAGTAGTTATGAATAATCATGCACTACTACTAGGTCACATACGAACATGCATCCTTTATGTAAACGAAAGTTTGAAATCGAGTTTCTGAATACAAATTAAAGTGACATTTGTTTGACGATTTAGGTTATCAACCATCCATGGCCAGCGCTCAATAAGTGAAAAAACAATATCAACCGATATTAATTATCAATATTTGTTATTGTTTGTTTACAAATGTTTGGTTTTTATTCTTGAATTAGCGGAGTGCTAAAAAAAGGTTGCAAGATTTTTTTTGGAAACCGTACTTTTCAAGCGACATTTGACAGATAGGGGTCATTGGCTTTCCTATTCTTATTTGAATCGCATTATACTGAAAAGCTTTCTGTGCACAACAGGTCGCGGCACCTAACTCTAGCGCTGAACAAAACGCGTCAGGGATATCTGCGCATGGGTACGACTGGAGAGCCAATCGGCGCAACGCACGCCCCCCCCCCCCCCCCCCCCCCCGCGCACCTCGTTTCCCCCCAACACATCTTAATTTTTACTCCTGCGCAAACCGTGCGTGTAACGGTCAGCGCTAGAGTTTCGTGCCGCGACTTATACTGACTGGTAGGTAAAGGCTTATATTTAAAAAAAAATTAAGCTATTCATTTACAAAACTACTTTGTTCTAATCTGGCTGGATAGTGGCATGTAATCGTACCTCTCTATAATGAGGTGATAAATGACGGTGTACTAGTAGTAAATAAAGATACGTAGTACTACGATTCGCAATCCGGGCGAATGCACTGACCAATAATTATGCTACCGCGGCCCTGTTGGCCGCGTCGAAATTCTTCTAGCCATTCTTAAGCTGCAAGGCAGCGCCATCTCTTGGCATTATAGGTAACCCACAATGTGAAATGAATACTTCTACAAATATTAATTTCCAACATTTAAAAGAAAAGATAGCAATTAAAGTTATAATTTTATTTTATTTTTTAAGCATGTAACTGCTTGATGTTTAAATCTAAAGATAATATAACAAGAAAAGATTCCACGCGGACCAGGCAGCAGACGGCACTCGAACCCGCACTCTTCGCAATCCGGGCGAATGCACTGTCCAATTATTTAGGTGAAGGTGGAAGAAGGTGAAGAATGAAGGGTTCGAGTCCCGCCTGCTGCCTGGTCCGCGTGGATTTTTTTCTAGTTATATTATCTTGAGATTTAAACATCAAGCAGTTACATGCTTATAAAATTAAAATTATAACTACGTAGTACTAGTTTATTTAGAGGTCAGTGCATGGACCAAGGATGCATACGAGAGCAACAAAACAGAAAATATGGTCACACATTTTTCCGATTTTTAGAAGAAAGAGATAACTTACTAATGACTCGATAACACTTGGTCTTTACGTATTCGGGTGCAGGAGAGACATTACTCAAATTCAGGCACCCGAAGCAATATTTACACTGGATTACGGGCCGGAAGACGGTACAACAACCAAAACGAAAACTGCCCGAATACTTACGGGCGTACTTGAATTCGTTCATTTATACTAAATATATATAATAATAATAACTAGCAAACCAGTGAACCAAATGTTCAAACACATCAAAAAAAAAAAAGTATTTCATTAATTGAGAACTTCGGAGATTTTGTGTGGTTTCGTTTGAAATAGAAATCACGTGATTTCTCGAAAACCGGAAGTGCTACGTTACTCACATCCGGTTTGTAGTCTTATCAGATTATTTTTAACTTATAACTTAAACATTCTCTATATCTATCTCTTACGGTTTGGCCGCTGAAACAGCACCACGGACGGACGGACGGATGGACTTGTCTAATAGATAAGAGATAATAAATAAATAATATAAATATATATATATATATATATATATATATATATATGTTTTTATTTATTTTTAAGCATTTAACTGCTAGATGTTTAAATCTAAAGAAAAGTTTACTAGAAAAAAATCCACGCGGACCAGGGGGCCAATCGCCTAAGGGAAATGCTTTGGGAAACGCTAACGCTTACGATTTTATGTTGTTATTTCTAGCCGCCTGAGGTTTTCGAATACCTCACGCTCATTTTTTTTAATATTGTTATTACCAATGCAAAAGAAAAAGAAAGAGCGCGAGGCATTTGAATACCTCAGGCGGCTAGAAATAACAAAATAAAATCGTAAGCGTTAGCGTTTTCCAAAGGATTTCCGTTAGGCGATTGGCCCCCAGGCAGCCATTGTGGGTTACCTACAATGCGAAGAAATGGCGCTGCCTTGCGGCTTAAGGCTAGGAAATTTCGACACGGCTAATAGGGCCGTGGTAGCATAATGGTCAGTGCTTTCGCCCGGATTGCGAAGGGTGCGGTTTCGAGTCCCGTCCGCTGCCTGGTCCGCGTGGATTTTTTTCTAGTAAACTTTTCTATAAATATATATATTTATAAATATATTTCTTTTTTATATTTTTTTATAATATATATATTTTTATTTATACTTTTTATTTAGTCGTTTACCCGAATTCCATTGGCAATCGCATTCGGGCTCAAGACCAAGTGTAATTGAACCAAAAGATTTGTAAGAGTTAAAGCACCGGAAGTCAGTTCATGAATTCATATTCTGAATTCAGATTCCGATGCAGAATGTGTAATGCCAGCCTAAATACTACCAATACAGTCAAACTTCCACTAAGCACAAAGATTTCTTAAAAAAAATCAACATGGGAGATGACCTTATGATACAGAAATAAAAACTGGTTTCATTAATAAAGATTAGGGATACTATCAAAGAATAGGATGATAGTTAAAGAGACAGATTTGCACAGGAAGAAATATGAATAGATAGATCAAAATATTGGTTTAAGATAATTTAGTGAAGTTGAAAAATCTGTTATTCAAGTATCTTTTTTTTCTAGGTAAGTATATAGACATAAAGTCTTAGGTTAAATCCTTGTAACTATTATATGCTGTCCATTCTTATAAACAATAACATATAACACAAAGAAATAAAATAAAATAATAAATAATCAAATTTCAATATAGACGCTTATTTTTTGCATCAATAATATGAAAGGGTTTGCTTTTATTAGGTAAGTACTACTTAGAATTATTTTATTCCTGAGTAACTCGATTTGCTTTAATATATTAGATATAAAAACAGAAAAGAAGCTATAAAAATAATATTCAACTTTATATTATTCTTAAGAAAGACAGAGGCATGTATATAAAAGAATTTAAGTGTTAAAGCAAGCTGTATAATATATACTTATATAATACATACCATAATTATTGAAAAACTAAGAAAAGGAAAATTAAGTAGAATGTTAGTGAAAAAACAATAAGTTTTAGTTATCTGTGGTAAAAGCAAAGCATGTTAATAGACAATACCACACAATACTTCCATTCAAATAAACATTTACATATATAAAGTAAATTAATTACCTACAGTCAACTAATTTAATCACGAATGGTACAACATCACTTTAAAATGAACATAAAATGACCTACTTAGTTCTGGAATATTTACAAGTGGGTGAGTGTAACTAATGTTTTTTTCTCTCATGTTATTTATAGTACTAAAACCCTTACAGTATTCGAGTCCACAGGCAGGATAGCTTGCACTTCCTTTGAGCTATCAGCATCGTTCTGTATTGAAATTTATTTTACAAATTAAAATACAGTCTCATTTTAATCCTACCAATATTTTTAATATCAAAGTTTGTATATCCACGACATTGTACGGTAGGTACCGCGTTTTCAGGATTTTGTAATCCTGACAAGGAACCAAGAATGTAACGGAGGTAAATTTATCGGAACCGAAGTCGGAGTCGGAGTTTTTAAATTTGATTTATCGGAGTCGGAACCGGAGTCGGTGGCAGAGTCAGCAGTGGTTACAAGAGAGATATTTTTCATATAAGAACAAATTAAAACATCATTCAATCAACCATTTTTCATTTTTATTGTAAAATAACCTTCTGTCATCGAAATTTACTTATTATTAACACAGACTCATAACGTGACGGGTATGATGAACCAGTTCGTAACGGTCGATGCAGGCCACCGTCGCTATTTGCTATGCTTCAACCTCCGATTTAAAAGTTTCGGAGCCGAAATCGGAACCGAAGGTGTAATAATAATCGGAAGTTCCGCCTTATCGGAATCGGAGTCGAAGCTCCGTAACATCCCTGCAAGGAACCCTTATAGTTTCGTCGTGTCCGTCCCCAGTTTTGCTTGGAGACTGTTTGCACTAGAGAGCTGCAATTTTATGAAGATATGGATATCAATAATGCTGGCAAAATGGTAGAATCAATTTTGATTTTTTTTTAGCCTAGCTTCCCTACATGTGACCTGGAGATGATTTTATTCTTTCATCGTCTACCCCATCGTATAAGTACCGTTGAATAGGTCCTTTAATATATAATACATAATGATTTATAAATGTTGTTATATTAGACTTTTAATGTTTTGGAGTTTTTTTCGCTCGTTTTTCTCCGCAGCTAAAAATATGTCCATAACGAGTGGTAGGGAAAAAAAATTTTTGGACGATTCAAAGGAGTTGTACTATACATCCAATTTGAATAAATATATATTGTTTTCTGATTTCTTTAAAATTACTTAGGGGTTCGTAAGACTGTTTTTCGGTTAAGGGGACCTTTTGCGAAACATTGAACTTTTAAGTTCTAATTTTTGTTCGTGTAGGAACTCCCCAGTCTAGGAGGAACTACCCTCTAAAGCTAAATTGTTTGTTCATTTAAAAGTAAAAAACTAAACGATTAAAGATGCCTAATTTAAAAGTGTTATCATTGGATTAGGCCGACTCAATGTCTGAACGCTTAAAAAACATACCCTAACTTCAGATGCGAAGGTGAGTTTAAGAATATTTTATTTAATTTCAACAGAGGATACAATAATTATTACAAATTAAATATTTCATCAAATTCGCTTGTTTAGGGCACGGCCCCCTGAAAACTGGCATCGTTACCTCGCTGTATCGCCATACTGTAATCCGTTGAGAAAATAAACTACCAGATCTTGGGACCCCCGTTACAGGCGAGCAGTCATATCCTTATACAATGTAATAATTTTGCAGCAGTGCCCCAAGGACCCATTGTCTCTATAGCAAAAGGCAGGAAAAAATATGTCTCATCCACATCCCGGTGAGATGGTGAGTTTGTTTGTAACGCTTTCACGCCTCAAACACTGAATGGATTACCATAAATGTTGGTTTATATATCAGATAGATTATTCCGTTTTCATTTTGCGAACGGCTAGGGAGTGGAACTCCTTGCCAAGGTCTGTTTCCCGGACCAATATAATCTGGACACCTTCAAGGCCAGAGTGAACAGGCATCTCCTAGGCAGGCGTGTACCATCCTACGCCTCATCATCGCTTTCCATCAGGCGAGATTGTGGTCAAACGCCTTGCCTATCGAACATTAAAAACAAACAAAATAATACCTTGGATATGGTTATCGTCTACATTTTTTCACGAAAAAGTTTTAGGTTAAGTTTTGTACGAAACTTTTTATTAAGCTGTCCAGTGGCGGACTAAACCCGTCAGAGGCCCGGGGCGGCAAAGCTGTATGAGGCCCCCAGCTTTAAAAAAATGTAGATTCTAATGTTTATTTCGTTAAAACCAGTCTTGTCCAATCAAGGGCGGATCCAGCTTTGGCGCCAGGGGGGGGGGGTCATATAGCCAGCTTTGGCGCCAGGGGGGGGGTCATATAGTTGTGGTATATTAAATATTGAAAGTACTTAAATAAAATCCCCCTGGGTTTGGTCCAAGTCCATGACCCCCATGACCCCCCCCCCCCCCTGGATCCGCCCTTGTGTCCAATTCACCATAACTTTGTGTCAGATTGTCAACTGCTACAGCCAGAGCGTCATCTGAAGCTTCTAGCATAAACTTTGTTTCAATAATTTGGAAAATATTTTTCATATGTTTAATAGCCCAATTTGAAAATTCTTGTATAAAGCGGTCTATGCATTCATACATTGACCGACGTATTTCTTCTTGAATTGATAATCCAGCATCATGAGCTGATTCACCCGGTATCGTTCTTTTTACCTTTACTTTTCCTGGTTTCTTTAAAGACTTGTTTAGGATTTGATCAGGGTAACACGGAGGCATTTTGGGGCCCCCCATGATCGGAGACCCGGGGCGGGCCGCCCCTTCCGCCCCCCTGTTAGTCCGCCACTGAAGCTATCCGATTTGCTTTTCTTCAATAAAAATAAAAATGCATCTGTTGTATTTCATTGGCGTCGTGATGTGTTTGGCGGGAGGGCAAAATAATGCCTACGTTCATATAATTCTGACGAGAGTCAACCGCGCCAACAATTCACGAACAACATTATATATCTTCTTCAATAATAATAATTATTCAGGGCAGAATCATAAACGAATAAAGATTCTTCGGCAGGGAAAAATTTAATGCAGGAACCGCATTGTTTATGTATGTTAATAGAGACACAAGCAATGGCGAGAAGCCAAAGAAAAGTATTGGTATTTTTCCGAAAAAAATAAGTCATACATTTTTTCATGGATGACTGACTTTTAGCTTGAATCCTTATAGATTCGCTATATCTGTACGTTTGTCTGTCCGCGGCTCAGCTCGGGGACTCGAGGACTTTAATTTGACATGGATAAACATCTTATAAAGTAGGCACATTGACAAAGTGGTAAAATAAAATCTTGAAAAAAGATTTATATTTCAGTTAACTCTCCTACGAGTAACGTGGAAACGTATTTTGTTCTCATCTACCCCACACCAAAGGATGAGAGAAAAAGGGTCATTGAATAGGTTAGATACACTGATTTTATTTATTTATTGACGTTTCGCATCCGTTGCCGGAATGCGTCGTCAGACATTATTGAGCTCTCCAATAGTGGGTGCAGTGGTACATTTATGTTCGCATTCTTCTTCATATAACATATATTTAAATTAGACGAAATGCAATCTGTAACGTCAGCATTGCTTTAAATGTATAAAACTCAGAACTCACGATTTTTAGCTGACGCACATAAATATTAGTTAGGAAAATTAGTATATAAGATGTAAACAGAAATAAATATTGCTCTTAGTTATCAAGCGACACACTGGCTATTTGATTCTTCGTTACGCAATTATTGAGGCGAATGAGAGAGCTGGCCAGAAACAAAATTCTAGACGACACCCTATTATGTGGAAACATCGACTTCGAGCTGTTTAAACCGTTAGCGATAGCAAGGATTTGGATACATTAGCGAAAATTGCCGATAAAGTCCTTGAGAACATGAGACTTTTAGAAATAGCAGAAGTCTCTGCCAGAAGCTCTATTAAAAGGACTACTGAATAAGAGCTATTAATAACTATAAAGCATCTTACTAAAGATTTATAAGATTATCAAAGGTGTTGCAGGGCAAAGCCGAGGGCGTAAGGGCGCGCAGCACAACACCAATGCGCTGGACCGATCAGATAAAAGCCGCACTGAACGGTCCACTCCTCGACCCCACGATAACGGCTAACTAGAGCCAAGGCCCGAGTCTCAGAGACGCCCTCTAGTTGTGCCGACCCCTCAAGTTTGAGTGGTCTAGAGGCTCCAGACGGAGAGGAGACTCCCCCCGTGGGTAGATGCCATCCGCCTGGAATACCTCTAGAGGCACTCGGCTTGAGGTCCCCTTAGGATCTCGCCGTCCCCAAACCCGGTGACGCTATAAGGGTCATCTGCGACCAACAGCATACACAATAAAAAAAAATGGGTGCGTGTACTTATGTAGGCGCGTGAGAAGTTATCCTTCTTTGGCATCGTTTAAAATTAGTTTTTAAATGCATGCAAATAATTAATTACAATAAATTAATAAAAAGTCTGGAAAAGGACACAGTCAATAAAGGTCAGTTTTATTTTGAAAAAATAAATAAATAATCAAAATATTCAATTAAAATCGCTACTGAATATAATTTATTAGAACATATGTGATTTGCACTTGTATGAAACTCAAACACGTATTCCGAATATACAAACTAGAAACATGTGGATAAATATTATAAATATGAATACCTATAACTGTTACTTTATTACAAAAAATAAAGATGTGGTTTTTGGTTCTACTACACCAATGGTCAAGAGATGGCGCTGTAGTCTCCTGAATCGCGCTTTGGTTCCGTTGTTCCAGATTAATAAATACTTTTGATATTATAAATATGAATACCTATAACTGTTACTTTATTACAAAAAATAAAGATGTGGTTTTTTGGTTCTACTACACCAATGGTCAAGAGATGGCGCTGTAGTCTCCTGAATCGCGCTTTGGTTCCGTCCGTTGTTCCAGATTAATAAATACTTTTGATAGGCCTTCACAATGCAGTCGTTAGCACCCACTAAATAGAGATTCTATTTCTATTTTGTTGGTAGATTTTCTTAATGTGCGGTAAACACAAAAGTAATTTTTGTGTTACAGTGATGCGCGTGCAAATTAAAATTTCACTCTCATCATTTTTTCATAACGCGCCTAAAGAAGTATAACTTCAAAAAAAAACAATCCACGAGGGCACGAGGAAGGTCGCAGTGCGGGAGGAATGGCGCCGTATTGTGAAGCACGCCACCAACCCTGATGTGACGACCACTCTGTCAAGAGTGTAGCGCCGAAGAAGAGATTTTTGAAAACAT